GTACAATGTTATCATAAAGTTTGATACAAAATTAAATGAATAATTATACTACATGTGTCATAGGTATTAAAGTGTCATGGAAATAAAATGTAGACCTCATAAGTTGTATTTATAATTTGATAATTGACATAATTATAAATACTTAATATATTGATCTAATATTATTTCTATATAAAGAGGTGGTGGGTTAATTTGTATTACTCTTATAACGCCGAAGAATTTATATTTAAGAGAAATTATCTTCTTGGAAGATCACAACCAAAGAAATATTCAAAGGTTTTAGTCTATCGATTACTTTAGAAACACTTCCGCATCTGGTATTTTATTTTTGATGATTAGATTGAATTAGACCTTTTTATATTTATTATGATTTAGTTGTAAAAGTGGGTGAAATTGAATCACCATCTTCATTTTTTTCCCCATGTATTTTCGACACGCCTTATCTTAACAGGTTCATGCTTCTGCTCTTAGCCCTAATCTTGAAGTCATTGGTCGTTGATTAAAATATAGTGGATGAATCAATCATCGAGGCTTGGATCTTGTGGGACCTCTTACAATCAAGAAAACGCCAACAGAATTTTATCACTTCCTCCAAGAACCATCATGACGTTGTTCTCCTTGTCTCGCAAGAAAGAGGTCAGCGTAGTTGGAAACATCAACTCATATGGGTGTTCTTGGGGGCAGACCCATTTTACTTAAACAATGCGACGTATTTTTTAACGGAGGACTACATCGTCACAGGAGGAGGAATAGCAGGTCATCCATTAGCCTTCATTTTATTGTACACATTTCGGGTTCTTGTTCTTGAGAAAGGAGGCGTTTCCTATGGTAACCAAAATAAAAGGAAAAGTGTATTTGACCGCACTCACCGAGGTTGACACCTACGACTCCTCTGCTCAAATTGTTCCCTCTGTTTTGTTTTGCAACTAGTTGGGTTATGAGAATCAGTAGCAAGAATAGAGGGAACAGTTCGAGCAGGAGAATCGTAGGTGTCGACTTCGGTGAGTGCGGTCAAGAACCTTTCTTGATCCATCAAGTTCTAGTTACCATGCGGAACGCCTCCTCTTTCAAGAACAAGAACCCCGAAGATGATGAAAAAGAAGACGGCGAATGGACAACCTGATCGGAGGTGTAACGGAACTTGATCGGATATTCGATAAAGAGATGAGTTTGACACTGTTATGGGGGACGGAAGGCCGACCGTGACCCTTGGAAGCCAGCTTTTTAGAGCGACGAAATGAAGTAATATGTGGTGTGTGATATTGAAGTACAAAATTTACTTTGAGATTCAGCTGTTTGTTAAGTGTATAAAAAACAGCTGCAATAAAAAAAATTCTTCGTTTTCATTGTTGATGATGTTAATAGCAAATATTGGTTGGTGTGATTGATACATTTATCATATTATACACTATTTTGATTCATCATTGTACTACGAGCTATGTATATTCACAGATTATTATGGTTATCTTTTAAGTGTTTCATCGAATCTTAACAATTTATAAATTTTATTATTTTAGTTTTAATTCAAAACAATTCAATAAATGTATGAACCAAACGACTTTGGTGATTAAAAGGATAATTGTTATCTCTAAAGATTATGTGTTTTCGTGTTCGAGCACTACGTCTACAGATGTGTTTGAACGTTTATTGTCAAATAGTTTGAGACACTCCTCATATGAGATGCTCCTTGTAATTCTCTATAAGGGTGTATAAACCAAACAACTTTAGTGATTCGAACACGATGTCTACAAAACTGGTTGATAGACATGTTTTCCTTACAACAGTGTATGAAGCCCCTCCTCACGGGGTTTTCCTTTGATCACTCGAGATATTTATGATCCTCCTCATTTGAAGCGCTCTTTATAATTCTTCAATACACTATCAATTCAAAAAAAAAAAGTCTTATCAATTTAATATTTTTTGTGATACGAAAAATCAAATAAACTTTTGAATTAAAACAATAATTGAATAATTATATTTTATCATAAAGAAACAATAATGGACAACCTGTTGTTCCTCCTCCCGACAATGAAGAAGAAGAAGAATGGGAGTACTATGACTACATCGTTGTGGGAGGAGGAATCACAAGTTATCCATTAACCGACACCTTTTGGATTCTTGTTCTTGAAAGTCGAGACATTTCCTTATTGTAACCAAAACTTATTAATCAAAAAGGGTTTTTGACCTCACTCACCAAGGTCGACACATATGGCTCTCTTGCTCAAACTGTTCCCTCGGTGAGTAAGGTCAATAACTTTTCTTGATTTATCAAAAAAAAATTACCATAGAGAACACCTCATTTTTCAAGAATAAGAATCCGAAACGTATGTGACAAGGAGACGGCTAATGGACAACCTATGGTTCCTCCTCCCGATGATGAAGAAGAAGAAAAAGAAGATGATGACTAATGGACAAGTTGCGATTCCTCCTTTCGACGATGAAGAAGAATAAGAAGAAAAAGTTAACGTAAAATATAAAAATCTCATTTTTTTTAATTGATGATCATAAAATACCCCAAGACTTTCAATTCTGACGTCGACTACTACCACCGCAGGTGATCACCGACTCAATCGTCAGCCACCAACCTGTTGATTACTCATCCATCAATTGGGATGGATGCATGTTTGGATTTAGGGATTTTTGGTGTTCGAAGCTACAATTGACAATGTTTGGTCGGTGAGGGCGGCAACAACAATGAATGACTGAAGAGTAGGGTGGATTCTTTGGGATTTAGGATTTTGAGATTTTAAAAATATTTTGAGGTTTTTTGAATAATAATAATAATTTTATTTTTTAAAAAAATTATAAACATCTCACGTGTCACATTTCGAGTGATTAACAGAATTCTTTTAATGTCCGTTACGATCAAGACACCTAAATGATAACATTAATAACGTTAGACACTTAAATTAACTAAAAAACTTTAGATTGCTAAATGAAAAGAAACGATATAGTTAGACACTTTTTGTTATATTAAATTAAATATTTTTAATATCTCAATAAATTTTGAAAGAAGCAAAAAATATTTTAAAAATATTAATTTAATTTTAATTCTATAAATATTATTATTAAAAAAGTTGTAAAAATTATAAGATTAGTATTTTTCTTGACATAAATAGAAACAACTAGTTTTATTAAGAAAGGAAAAAATTATATCTCTTTTTAACTTTGATTGGGGCATTTATAATATCTGTCAGCGCATGTGATAATATTATTTTGATTATTTGTATGTTTACATGCTATATAGATTTAATTTTCAAATTTTAAATATCGTTCTATCTTTTCACGTGAATTTATCAAAAATCTTATCTATACATTATAATTGATAAAACTTGCGTTTAAAAGACGTAGACTGTTTAAAAGCTTAAATGAAATGAAAAAAAATCCAAAATCTTGAAAAGATGAAGGGGTGATAATTTTTACGAATATTTTAATAAAAGTTTTCATCAATTATCTCCAAAGACATAACAAAAAAAAAATCATCACTTATTCTCCACATTTGTAATACTTTTAAAATCTATTTTCATATAAGTTTCCTCAACCGACTGAGTTGAAGATGCTGCATGACACAACACCTTCATAATTGTGTACGTAAAATATTTTCTTTTTCATTCAATAATAATTAGGGTTCTTCAATTCAACTCATGGGAAAATATTAAATGAAAAAGAAAAGAAAAAAGAACCCAATTCAACGCCATCCCATCTTAGTTATCTTCCATTCCATGTGAGATTTTATAATGAATAAATTGAAAAATAAAGAAGTTAGCTTCGCTGTACATTGTAGCTGCGCCGTTTTATCTGCCGTTGTAAGCTCATATACATATGATAACGACAAAGGTAAATTACATATAGTCACTTGAGCAACTTAATTAATCGATCAAGTATGCTTATTTATCCTTTCTCCCGGAAAATATAGTGTAATGCCGTCGAGAATAAACATGTTGTGCCGGGTGACTGGAATCCTTTGAGGTCAGCTGAACAGATTGACAATCAGTAGAAGATGCTAGGCAAGGCTGCTGGCCTGAAGAGTGAGGCTGATCCGTAACATCATCTGCAGAAGAATGAAGTTCGAGTTGATGAACAGGAGAAGGTCGAAATACATCCCCCATCACCATTTTTCCCCGGTCTTATTAATTAGGTTAAGGAAAACATGAGGGACCTCATTGAAGAAAAAATTCAAGAATACATCGAGTCTCTTGAATTTCACGTCATAGCATCTATACCCAGATTAAGTGTATCCAAGAAAGATATAAGTAGTTTCTTTGGAAACCTTCTTACACTGGACAGACGTCAGTCCCATATATGATCTTACGATTTTGGTATAATTATACATATAGTGGTTTTAGTAAAAAAACAATTTTAATTATTCAATAAAAAATTTCTAACTGGCTAACTTTGAATATAATAGAATATATATATATAATGAGTAGAAGCAATATCAGCATAGCTGGCTGGTGGGGATAGTAAACCCCACTTCTTTCTCTATCATTAGTTCTTCCATTTTCTTTTTGTTTCATCATTATATACAAGTTAGCATCTTTAATCTTTATACTATTTCTGTATAAATCACCAATTCGTATGCTCCTTTTATTGTGAAATTTTGTGCTCTTATTATTCCAGCGAAGATGCTCTGTACAGTACACACAAAATAAACCCCTTCTCTCTCTCAACTTGATGTAGCAGACAACCATTTCATCTTGCTTTACAGCCCACAAATACAAAAACCCAAAAAGGAATTCGACAAATTCAAATAAAAAAACCAAAATCTAAGCAAAAACAATTACTCCAGAAGAAAAGAACCCTTTTTCTTTATGTTTATCAATTATCCAGTCTCCTTGTTCTTCTTTATCTCTTACTTCAACCAAACCAATAAAAAGAGTATATTTTTCTTACTTTGTTTGTTGCACATATACGTATATATATACATACAAACTTATATATATATATATATAAGGAGAGAAAGTGTTGTCGGCGCAGGCTCACTTTCTGTCGGCATTGTCTGTATCCAACGATGGGTATTATTAGTTGTTCAATTTTATTTATTTATATTTAATTAAGTTGAGTTGAGGGAAGTCTATGATTTTCTTTTCTTCACTGGAACTTGAATCCCCAATGCTGTCTCTGGTGTTGTTTTTCATTTGTTTTTTCTTTTAATGATTTGGACATTCCATCTTGTTTATTAAAAAAAGAGAAGAAAATTACAACTATTCCACCAACTTCAACTATTTTGCTTCCTCGATTCCTCACCACTGCTGTCCATTTTTGCCTGCTCACACTACCCTTTTGTTTTCCTTGATTTCACCTATTCACCCTTTATCTGTTTCTGGGCATCTCTTGATTTCTTCCCCCAATTCTCATACAAGTTTGTTGTTGTTCCTTGTTCCTTTTCGATGAGGGAAATGTGTGTGATTCTCTGCTCCTAAAGAGATCAACTTGATTTCTCATTGCCAAATGAATGTGAATACAGGTTTGAAGTTTCACACTTTTTTCCCCTTTTTTTCCGTCTGCCATCAATGGCTCATTATATTTTTTGTCTCTGATTTGACTTAACATAGTGTCTTTTTTGACTTGGTTAAGGGATAATACATTGGATGCTCAAATTAAATGTTCTTTTTGATTTCTATGATTTGCTTCATTGTTCTGTACAATGGGTATTGAGTAGTATAGTACTGTGTGTGAAACATTCTAAATTGAGTTGCTTCTGAGGTTTTAGCTTTCAACCTATGCAAAGCATCTTTCATTTATAAGATTGTTAATTTGTCATCCGCCTGCTAGCTACCAACTTGCTTGCTTTATCCATATAGCTACATTCTATTTAAATGGATGATATGCACGCCATTTCATTTTATGTACTTTTTTTTGTTTGAATTTTGAGTGCATATGTTTGTTCTGGATAAACATTTAACCGGTCGTCTTATCGTCAATATTTCAGGTTCAATGTACAATAATTTCAACCATAGCTGAAGTAATTCCAATACCAGATGTCAAGGAATCTTGCAGCCATATTAGGAGGTGCTGCAGGAGCCGTGGCATTGGTGGTGGTTGTTGGCTTGCTTATATGGTTCTGCCTATTTCACAAACGGGGTGTTTCGAGAACATCCGAGACAGGTTCCTCGGATCCATCTGCTCAAGGTAACATTTATGTCATGATTGTTTCTGAAGTCCATTAAAGGCCGTAATCACCGTGTAAGAGATGGCTTATTCTTGTTCTTTTTCGATGACTTATTCTAGGACTGGGAAGACATATTGGGGTTCAGTTGTCACTACGGGAAGCTACACGTTTTGAGTTGAGGGAGTTGTCTTTGGCGACCAAAAGTTTTAGCGACAGAAACCTGATTGGGGAAGGAAAATTTGGTGAGGTATATAAAGGTCTGCTTCAAGATGGGGTGCTGGTTGCAATCAAAAAGCGAGCTGGAGCACCTAGTGAGGAATTTATTGATGAGGTAAAAGATACTTATCTGGCTTTTAGGTTGAGATTTTTCATCAGGTTCGAAAAGTTCTAAAGGTTAACTTGCTAATTTGAGTCCCTACTTCACATGATATTAATTCGGGGCCTACAGTATATGTCAAAATATAGCAAAAAATATCATACAACCCATACTCGGGTCTCAAGCTGGAAAAATTCCCCCCCCTGTAATTAGTGGTCAATATGTTTATTTTTTCTTGTTAAACTCAATTTGACGCATGCATCTTGAGTTGTAGTCAAGCTTGCCATGTTCTTTCTTCAGCCTTTCGAATGATTTGTTTAAGATGTAAAATCTGTATTTGCCTCCATGCTGCACTACTACAAACTCTTGCACAGTTTGTCCTTTGATCTAATGGTACTCAACTTTACTCCTAGGCCTGCTATCTTTCATCTATTCAGCATCGGAATCTTGTCACTCTCTTGGGCTACTGCCAGGAAAATAATCAACAATTTCTTGTTTATGAATATATACCCAATGGAAGTGTTTCCATGCACTTGTACGGTAACTCTCTATCCAGTCAAAAAAAATCTGCATATATTTGTGTGTGTCATGTCGGGAGAGATCAGTTAGGCGAATGGTTCAGGATTTAATCGAGAAAGTGAAATAGTGTTTAATTCTGTATTGAAGTTTTTTCCTGGTTTATTTCTGCAGGAGCCGGTCAAGTGTCAGCTCAGAAGATAGAATTCAAGCATAGACTTTCAATAGCTCTTGGTGCAGCTAAAGGTGATCCCCTGCAAAATCAGTGAGCATTTATGGCTTTCCTGGTATCAGTTTTTCTTTCTTTAGATTAACTATCCAACTAGCAATAAGGTTCCCACAAAAATCTTTTGTGAGCTTTGGTAATGCTTTGGAATTCAGAAGTTCATCTTATATGATTGTAATTTTCAAAATTTTCTGCCCGATTTATGTTGCCTTGACCGGTTATTGTCCCTTCTGCAGGATTGGCGCATCTCCACTCTCTAAGTCCTCGATTGGTACATAAAGATTTCAAAACAGCAAACGTTCTTGTAGATGAGAATTTTATAGCCAAGGTTGCAGATGCCGGAATACGTAATTTTCTGGGAAGAATTGATATTGCTGGACCTTCTTCTCAACTCATGACAGATGAGATATTTCTTGCTCCTGAGTACTCCTCTCTTCACTTTGTGACTGTTCTATTGTTGTATCATTCATAGTCTTACCTGCATGCATTGACTTATGCAGGGTAAGGGAGTTCAGAAGATTTTCTGAAAAAAGTGATGCATATAGTTTCGGGGTATTCCTTTTGGAGCTAGTAAGCGGACGAGAAGCATCAGAATTGCCATCTTCAAACTCCAAGGAGAACCTTGTTGAGTGGGTATGACATTGGCTCCATTTGTGCATGTTATTTATGCGTTTTCGAAATATTTGCTTGGTAGTGCATTTTTTATTAGTAAGATCACAATTGACGAGATGACAGCTATCAGTATCTTGCTATATAAGAAAAGAAAACTCTTAAGCTTGCATTTCTTTGTGGGAGATGATTCTGCATGTGGTTCACTTCCACGGCTTCATATTCGCATATTAGCTGTTACTATGCAAACATAACCGTGCTCTCCATATCGTATTTACAAACGGCATGATTTAGTAGATAGGTGGTTACTATATATAAATATCATGGTGATTGTAATATCACTACCAAAAGATGCGAGTTTGCTATTTCTCCATGAGAAAGTATTCGAGCCTTATCTTGTGTAGTTTTTCTCCGGGAGACCAAAACCAGTTGATGTATGTGTTTTTTCCTTCTTCTGGAAGGTGCAAAATAGCCAAGATTACAGCAACATTTCCAGCATCATCGATCCAAGGTTGGGGAGTCACTTCACCGCTGAAGGTATGAAAGAATTCATAAAACTGACCGTCCGGTGTTTGGAACCATCGAGCGAGAGGAGACCGGCCATGAGCCATGTTGTAATGGAACTTGATCGGATACTCGATAAAGAGATGAGCTTGACGACTGTGATGGGGGAAGGAAGCCCGACCGTGACCCTTGGAAGCCAGCTTTTTAGAGCGACGAAATGAAGTAATATGTGGTGTGTGATATTGGTGAGGTACAAAATTTACTTTGAGATTCAGCTGTTTGTTAAGTGTATAAAAAGCAGCTGCAATAAATTGTTTTTCTTTGTTTTCATTGTTGAAGATGTTAATAGCAAATTGGTTGGTGTGATTTATACATTTATCATATTATACACTATTTTGATTCATCCTTGTACTACGAACTATGTATATTCACAGATTATTATGGTTATCTTTTAAGTGTTTCATCGAATCTTAATAATTTATAAATTTTATTATTTTTGTTTTAATTCAAAACAATTCAATAAATGTATAAACCAAGCGATTTTGGTGATTAAAAGGATAATTGTTATCTCTAAAGATTATGTGTTTTCGTGTTCGAGCACAACGTCTATAGGGATGTTTGAGCGTTTATTGTCAAATGGTTTGAGATACTTGTCATTTGAGGTGCTCCTTGTAATTCTCTACAGGGTGTATAAACCAAACAACTTTAGTGGTTCAAGCACGATGTCTACAAAATTGACCGATAGATAGATTTTTTATGACAATGTATGAAGCCCCTCCTCTACATGCTGCCTTTGATCACTCGGGAGTCGGGATATTCATATCCTGCTCATTTGAGACGTTCTTTATAATTCTTTGACATACTATATTAATTTTAAAATAAATCTTATCAATATAATTTTTTTGTGATACCGAAAAATCATGTAAAATTCTGAATTAAAACAAGAATTGAATAATTATTTTTTATCATATAGAAGCAATAATTATCATTGCATTATTATATTAGAAAAATAATATGAAAGTATATAATATTTTTAGAAGAAAATAAATAATTTAAGAGAAAAATAAAAATAAAATTAATAAAATATTTAAATTATGAGATTAAAATTGTTATTATATTATGTTATGTTATTATTTTTATCATATATTAAACTATGAATGAGTTATTGTTATAATATTTTAATTTATTAATTAAATTGTAACTTAAAAAAAGAAATAACCCATTTATAATTGAGCTAATAATTGAATGACCTACCGTATATTTTATCCTTACTTTTATATACGAAAGGCTACTAAACCCACCCTCAATATTCTGAAAGCAAAACCCTGGTGGCGTCCATCAGAAATCTAGACTAACCGGAAAGTGGAAACTGTTGCGGTTGGGTTTTGGCTGCTTGCCGTGGGTTATCAAGTTCTCAATTACTTTTAGCACGAGAGAAGAGGAAATATGAGATTCAAGAAGCAGAAGCGTATCCGGAAGGCGGTGAGATTCTTCAGCGTGTGCTTCGGGTTCAGGCAGCCATTCAAGGTTCTTTGCGATGGAACTTTCGTGCATCACCTTCTTCACAATGACTTAACACCCGCCGACAAGGCTCTCTCCAATTGTCTCTCTGCCCCCGTCAAGCTTTTCACCACCAGGTTCAACGCTCCTCCTTTTGCGGTGTAAGTATCCAGAAGTAATTGCTTTTGTATGAAAATCTAACCCTTTTTCGTCATGTGTGGTTTTCAGCTGTGTTCTGGCTGAGCTGAAAAAACTTGGTGCTGCCCAATCTGCATCATATCAAGCAGCTCGTAAACTCGCAGTTGCAAGGTAACCCGTTTCTCTTTTGAGCCTGTTTGGGGCTAATTTACTGGTACTATCACTTTTGATTCTGAATTTACTCTTAGTTTCTGTTATTTTGACAATATTTCTGTGAAGTTGATTGTATGCGAGAAGTTGATTGTATGCGAATTTTCTTAATTTTGCCTTTTCTATGAATGTAATTTGTTTGAGCTGTAATTGAAAATCATATTCAGATGTGATCATGAGAAGAAGGTCAGTGCTGATGCTTGCATTGAGGATGTCATTGGAGAAAATAATCTTGAGCACTTTTTTGTTGCTACCCAGGACGCTGATCTTCGAAAGAAACTTCAGAAGGTAACTTTTTTTGTTACTATTCTATGTTAGTTGGACTAGGTGTGAGTGTTAGATATGGATATGATATGGTGTATGTTTAATTGTCGTAGTTTTTTACATGTGTATTTGAAGGGAGCTTGGGGGTGTCATATCACAACATTAATATTTGGATATATGCTGGATATGATATTTCATGAAAAATAAAGAATCGGAGCAATAGTTGCTATTGCTCTATTCTTTTTTTCTTTTTGTACAAAGTTCCTTCAAGGATATAACATATTTTGATTTTAGCTTAATCATTTATGCTGTTATTCAATCTCCATTATGGAGTTTTTATTATAATCTTCCTATGAATATGTATTCTGATTTTGTGTCTTTCTCTTCCTTTAGGTGCCTAATGTCCCTTTAATATTTGGTCTACGGAATTCCCTTTTCCTTGAGCAACCATCAAAGTTTCAGCGTGATTTTGTAAAATCTTCTGAAGAAAAACGCCTTCATTTGACTGAGAAGGAATTTAAGGCACTAGAGAAGAGGACTGCTAGTGCTTCAGAAAATGCGGATGAAGAGGATTCGGTTGACGAAGAAGGCTTGGGTCATCACAATCCAGGGCTGCAGCCACATAATACCAGGAATTATTCTGGAAAGGAAAGAGATGTAAAGGATAGAGTTCGATTTAAAAGAAAGAGAGCTAAGGTACCTTCAAGTATCCATCTTCCAACTTGTACTTTTTTGGTCACGGTTGTACTTTGCACATCTCAATCTAATAATTGCAGGAAATCATATGGTTGGTGCATTTTCTATAACAAAGTGCAAGTTCCCTAAATTGCTTTTGGAAATGTCGCCTGTGATTAATGATTATAACATGTTAGTTGGGAACATGCAAATGTAAATAAACCAGCATTATGCAAAGTTGACATCTATTGCCATAACCGGTGTCAACCGAGTAACAATTTCCCCCCTTTACACACATCCAAACACATGCCATTAGTTTGAAAAGTTAAAATCATTTGATAATTAGAATCATTTGAGGGATGTTGATTGCTTGGAGATTGTTTTATCACGTCTTGAAGCTGAAGCAGAGTTCAGTCCTTGTAACCAAATTCTTTTATTTAACATTAACTGGGTTATAGTCTAAGATGTATTACTGCTGTGATATCATTCCCTTTTAACTGCTATAAGGTGCCATCATAATGCTCATGGGATTGACATTTTTTCCTCTTGACATTTATAGGGTCCAAATCCACTTTCAGTTAAGAAGAAAAAAAGCCGTGAAAACCCAAATCGTCCATCTGGGAAGGTAAACTTGATTTTAGTGTAGAGAGCATTGCCTGTTTTTCAAATGTATTTACCAAGTCTTTGGAATTGAGTTAAATAATTCAGCCTCCAGCTCCTTTATTAATTTGAGCATTGGATTTAAAGGTAAATTTTGCCTTCATACAAAATTTTATATATAAGTCTCTTTGCAGGAAGGTGATGATGGCAATGCCGATAACAAGAGGAAAAGGAAGAGGTCGCGCAAAGGTAAAACACTTGCTGGGACAGATGGTGCAATATAGTAAGAAAGAAAACTTGGCTGTAATTCTGATGGTAACCCAACCGCAATGCAACTTATTTGTTCAATTGAAGAAGTGCTCTATGGTTTTTATGATTTTTTTTCATTCCAGGAAGAAAATTGTTATGGTTTAGGTACTTTGGGGAGGAATTGACTGTTGAGTTGAGGGGATCAATTCATGTGCAAGGTCTTATCTTTGTTTATCACTAATCTTTTCTTACTTTTTCTACTTCCCATGGCATTGCATTGTGTTATGATTTTAGAGAGGAGTCATAAATCCGGCATCGTCTGTGCATTAGAATTGGTCTTGGGATATAAGTATTCACATAATCTTCAACATGTGAGGTGTCTTTTGTAGATAAAAACCGAAAGGTTCAATGGGCTAAAATAGATCATTCGTTGTATGTTGTTATGGATTGTGGCATATGGTATTAGAATCTATTTCGGGGTACCGTCAATGTTCTAGATGGACCCTTTTTGGAGTGATGAGGATGGCACTCTCCTAGAGAACCATCCCAACACGATATAAGTATTCATATTAATCAATGGTTGTGTTGGTGGATCACATGTTTAAGAACATAGTACAAGTTTGTTTGAAAGGACAACTTTTAGAATTTAGCTAGATGGATGTACTAGTGAATATGTCACCCTTATTTTGTTCTGTAGTATGGCATCCTATTTATGTACATGCCTTGAGAGTTCAATGTTGTAAAAATCAGACCGTTGGTTGAAGTCTGATAATTGACATCGGCCGAATCTTACAACCGAGATGATTCCGTTGGAGTAAAGCTCACCAGATTTGGGTTTGGTTTGCATCGTAATTTTGTCAGCAAGAAGAGATGAAGTGAGCATTTACATTTAAAACTTGAAAATGGTGTTGATTTCAAGTATTCAAAAGTGGCACACTCACTGATGGAAGAAATGAGTAATCTAATAATGCACGTGATTTGTGAACCGACAAGTTGAATAACATGAAGCAAAAAAAAAACGAAACCCCAAAAGTCATCCAAGTCCATGTATTTTGTAAGCATTCAGGCTTGTGACAACCGACAAACATTCAGCTCGATTCTTGGCCCCTTTGAGGTTCCCAAGGCCATCCACGGGTCCACCCAGCTTGTTTCTCGCAATTACTATAATAATAACAATATTAGTATTATCTCATAAGTAGGAAAATGAAATGGATGGTCCCATTCCCTATAATGCATCTCCATATCTGATATGGATGCACCAGTTCAGCTCAGCCATCTCGCTACATTGCAAATAAAACTGCTCTGATTTGGTTGGGAAAGTCTTTAAATCCTATGATAATACCTGTCATGTTATTGTTCGAATACATTCATGGATAGAGATGGAAGTAAGATTAAATATTAAAATATAATAATTTATTAAATATTTAAATTTAAAATTAAGAAAGATAAAAAATTATATCTAATATTTAAATTAATAATAACTTAAAATGTTATTTTATCAAAATATTTGAAGGGTCAGAATCATAACTCCTATCCTATAAATGACTCTATCCCTACATACATAAAATGTAGACTATTATTCAAAC